CCCCAGGACCGTGCTTGGACACCCCTGGTCTATAAGATGCTTTACAATATTATATTTGTGAATATACATTAGTCAGTACTAAAGCCAAATCTGGAGCTAATCTAATAAAATAACTTACGATAACGGTTCAAAAATTAGTAGCCCAAATTTATGTTATAGAAAAATGTTAAATAAAATTTTCAAAAATAGCAAGAATCAAAAGAAACAAGAAAAATGCAAAAAATGTTGTTGAAATGTTGTAGTTTGTATTTTTTTGCATGAATTTAATTGTATTATGTTTCCATTTCTAAAAATGTTATGTGACTAAAATATTATTTTACTAAATTTATCTGTTTAATAAATCTGGTTTGTTCAAATGCACCAATATATATATAACCCATATTCACTAAGAAATAAATATAAAAATATTCATTTGCAAAATGAAGTGTCCTCATATATGCTGAGCACTGTAAGTACAGTGTAAAAACATGTACATGACAAGTGCATTGTACCAAATTATTAATTTAAATATAAGTATAATTATTAAACCCACTTAACATGAAGTTTTTTTTAAGATTACAGAAACATTTCCAAACTTTTTCATTCAAATTGGTCTAATCTGATTATAATGCCGATACTGAAGTAACTAAAGCCAGTTAAATGCTTTAGGCAGCAAGCCTTTGTTAACATTATTAAGGTAAGTCATATTTAAATTATTCAACAATATTAAAGTAAATGCAAAAGCTACATTCATCGCCAGATCTATAATATTAACCTTTAGTCTTCAAGTTTAAAAGAAAAACGAAATAGCCATAAACATTTAAAGGATGCTATAAACTGTTAATTTACAGAGTACTATAGTATTGGGTTATAGGGTGTCTAAATCCTCAGTTGAATTATTATTAATTTGAATATCATGTGTGAATTATTTAAATGGCCAAATTCTGACTGAGGAAAGTTGAATGTACTGGCCACCCTGCAGGCACAGGACATCATTATTGTCATATTGTTGTTGTACCCCACTGTTGTGGGGACGTTGGATTTTGTTTAGAAATGTAAATCAGGTTGACCTTAAAACCCAACATCAGGCCAATGTCGGTGTCCAACATCCAACCTAAAATCAACCTAAGATCAACCAAATATCAACGTCTAATCACGTTACACCTTGACGTTGTGTGGATGTAACCGCTATGACATCAGTCAGACGTTGGATTTTGGTCAATTTCCAACATAACTTAAAATCAACCAAATATTAACCGAATCAACGTCTAATCTAGTTATGCCTTGATGTTGTGTGGACGTAACCACTATGACATCTATCAGATGTTGGATTTTGGCCAATTTCCAACATAACCTAAAATCAACCAAACAACAGATTTGACGTCGTTACTGGACGTCAACATAACGTTGTCCTTAGACACTGCCTTGACATTGAATTTTGGTCACATGATGTCACAACATAAATATAACCTAATATTAATGTCTTATGATGTTGTGTGCATGCTGTGCAGTTTGTTATTTGTGTATAGGCTTAAGTTTTAAATAAAAAACTAGTTTTAACAGATTCCTAAAAAAAAATTATGATAGAAGATAAAATTGTATTTTAAAAATAAATATCTTTTTATATTTCTTTAAAATACTAATCTCAACACTATTTATAAAACTGTAATATAAAATTTAGTTTAAATGCACATTTGTAAATAAACACTTTAATAGAATGGTAATTTGGTGTAGTTATGATCACCATCCATCAAGCTAATACAGCAAAAATTTTGCTTAAAATATCACTAAAATGCAATATTTAAACCTCATAATTAAATAAAAAAAATTAGGCAAATAACGACAGAAAGGTCAGGTTTTTCCGAAAAAAAGAACCACCCCTTTCAATAAACTGGCTACAGGCCTGAATAGGTTCAGGGGAGGGTTTATGCATAGTCCCAGTTTACGTAATGACTATAAATACAGTACACTACACTTTTGTGAAATTAAGTACATTAGCTTCTTCTTTTTTTGTATAAAAGCTATTGCCTTTTAATTAAGAGATGGTCCTTTAGGCTGCCCTGTCAGTGTCAGTCATGGCCGAGTTGAGAAGACTTCTACCAAATCGGAGAGGGAGAGAGAGATAAACTGAGAAAGAGAAAGATACGGTAGTGACATCCTACTCTTCAGAGACCTGGCCAAGAATAAGAAAGACTAGACATTGTGGGCAATAGCAGCACTCTCCTAAAGTGAGCTCTGAGGTCTAGTTACATCTCTTTCTCAGAGTAAAAAAAAAAAAAAAGGAGTTTTGACAGATTTATGGCTTGTGATTAATCAAGTGGGTGACAAATCGGCCGCTGTGCTATGCTGAGGCTATCATCGCCAATTGTGTGCATAAACAAAAGCAATCAGGAAGTATAAATCAAAAAGGGCACGTTATTGGATAAAGTATGGCTTTCTTATGATGTTTGTTTTTCATCATTGCTCTTATTTTTCTTGCCGCCTACATCGCTGGCTGATGTAAAGATAATATCCGTTACAGCTAAGTAAAGTAAAATAAAAATGCACACACATTCAGATATCTCGAAACACATGCAAACAGATCATACCTGCATCTTGAATCAGCCGCTGAATAAAATATGGAAACTACTCGCATCCAGACTGACTTTGTCCTGAATAATCCGTTCACAGTCAGCTAGAGCTGAGCAATTTCTACCAACCCAACACGTGCCATGGAACACCCAAAAAGTCCTCTGTGAATCTAGAAATTAATCTAGCCTAAAACTTCTTTAAAAGTTACTTGCAGCGTTTCTAACCAGGCTTGCAAATGCCTGGAACGCGGAGAGGATGGCCATCTATTATTGCTGTGCTCTTCACAATAATGACCCATGTTCTAGTTGCGAGGCCTGGGTATTTAATGATTCATGGTCCAGTCAGGAGGGGGTTCAGAGAACTAGAGATCTTATTCAGTGCTTACCTAGGTGTCTACCACTGCAATGGGTGTAACACAAAGATACAGAAACTCAATCCAGCTAAACGTAGATATCAGCCCTTCCCTCAGTCCTATGGTAAAGCCAAACATTACAACAGAGCAGCTCCGGTTGCTGATCTTTGATTAGGGAAGTAGATTAATGGCTAATTAACCACTGTACAGTCAATCAGTGAGTTTGCAAGAGGTGCTCAATAAACTTGTCATCAACGGCACTCCTCTGAGCTTTTAGCCACTTGAAGCCAGCTGGCTCAGGACTTAACCAGCATACTGTATGTTAGCCATTCAATCACAGCTTGTTCTGAAATGAACAGTGCCAACGAAGAATTGCTACATGCAGTTCTTGAATGGACTGGACTGGGTTTTAGACAGCGACTAACTCAACCTTCCCTTTGCCTTGTTATCTGACTCATGCTTGATACAACTGACTGGTGTCTCTTTTCTCTCCACTAATGACCCAAATAATCCAGTAGAATAGATTGAGTTTCCTACTCAATTGAGTAGCCTTCAATCTCAAGTGTGAGAGATATAGAGTGTCAACCTTGACAAGCATTGATGTTCAGTGTCACTCTTGCTAATTTCCAACAAGGAGACACGTGAGGATAGTTTCCACTAGAGTGCACTTGAACTTTATTTATAGTAACAACCCTCGTTAAAGGAATATTCAGGGTTCGATAGAGGCTCAGTTAAATTATTGATAATGTATCCATCATTAAATGAGTAAGTTACACTTACAGCACTTGCATGAGAAGTGAATGGATGCATGTGAATGAAATTAAGAGAGGAATTTATTAAATACATCTCCATCAGTAGATCAATTACCTACTCTTTAACCAACCCATGCTTTTAAAAAAAAACTTGTCTGTATTGCTTTAGGATTTTGGCATTGCATTGACATGGTGACACAACTGTAAACATGCATATAGCTTAACACAGAAAAAGGATCATCATTTGTACACACTAAAATCTTGGTGTAATTCTGAAGTCAGATCTGAGTTTCAGTAGTCAAAGCAGTAACTTTGTAATCAGTGATCAGCATACTATCATCTCACAAGCATTTCAAAAATTAGATGCTTTGTTTCCAGTGAGGACTTAAAGAAACTTGTTCATGCTTTTATCAGCAGCAGGGTGGATTACTGTAACGGCCTCCTCATCGGCCTCCCCAAAAAGACAGTCAGACAGTTGCAGCTCATCTAGAAGCTCATCTGGCCAGGATTCTGACTAAAACCAGAAAATCAGAGCACATCACACCTGTCCTAAGGTCTTTCCACTGGTTTCCAGTCCCATTCAGAATAGATTTTAAAGTATTATTACTGGTCTGTAAATCACATAATGGCATAGGGCCTAAATACAGTACAGATATGCTCACTGAACACAAACCTAACAGATCACTCAGATCTTTAGGACCAAGTTAATTAGAAATTCTAGTCAAAGCAGGGTGAATTCGCTTTTAGCTACTGCGCCCCCACTGCTGGAATAAGCTTCTAGAAATGATCAGATGTCCAACATTAGGCACATTCCAATCAAGACTGAAAACACATCTGTTTAGCTGTGCCTTCACGGAAAGGGCACTGTGCTGCGTCCGACAGATCGCACTATTGTCTTTCTTTACTTTTTCATTCTTTTATGATCTGTTTTAACACATTTTAATTGGTTCAAATAATTTTTAATTTTATAAATAATTTTTATTTTCTTGTTTCTTTTATCTGTGTTTATGTAAAGCACTTTAAATTACCATTGTGTATGAAATGTGCTATAAATAAACTTGTCTTGCCTTAAGATCATGTTTGCATGCAAATTATTTGTCTTGCGGCTACTAAAACGATGAAAATATTAATAATCATGTCTATTCATCTTTTAGTGCAACCACCTCATTCTAGCTACATTTATGCAGTTTCTATGAAAAAAAAAAAAAAAAAAAAAAAAAAAAAAAAAATATATATATATATATATATATATATATATATATATATATATATATATATATATATATAATTGGAGATTTTATCATTATGACACAAATGCTGTTGATTGAGATTAATGTTAAATTTCAAAAGTTCTGTCATCATTTACTCTAATTCATGTCTTACCAAAAATGATTCAAATTACTTCATTCTGTAGAACACGAAGATCTTTTCAAAAAATCTGAAGTGGGAAAAGAGAGGGAGCTGGAATTAAGAAAGTTCACAGAGCCATGAATCAAACTATTCAAAGCACAACTGAGCTGTTTGTCAGAAAGCTACACGTGAGGTTATCAGCTGTGACAAAGTAAGATATTAAGTAAAATTATTTTGTGTTCTTAAGAATTGTGAACTTCTACTGAATTGAATACAGAATATTTCCTAAACCTTAAAATAATCACTTGCCCTGATAAATAGTTCTGTATGTTACTAACAGCAGGTTTATTTCACTGTAAAGGTAGGACTACACACAACTATCCACAAGTATATTCAAAGTTGTCCCATTCACAACCTTTGTTGTCAAGGCTACCTTCGCCCCCTTACACCACAGGCCCGTTCTGCTCCACACCCCCCTTTCTAGTAATGCTTGTCCAGCCTTAACAGGCTTTGTGCTGCCCACTGGGCCCTGATGCAGCACGAGACCCGGCAAATCCTATTATACAGGAGTCACAGCACTTGATTTTCCCATTAGAGATTCCAAGCGGAGAATAAGGGTTTATTATAACACCGGCTTTGCCGCGTTCCCACCGAAAGTCCCACCTCGCTCTCTCGTTTTCATGTGCTCTTTTCTCAGTATTAGCCCTGTTTTATCCTCTTTTTTCTTTTCTTTTTCTGCTGTGCTTCTTGATAAGCAGCGAGATCTGGAAATTAACATAAATAGGTAACATTAGCCTTCTATATTACATCAGCCACCACTATTAACATTTTTTATTTATATTGTTTTTATTAATGAAGATACAATAAAAGCTTCCAGACGTACCTTAGAATATCTGTAGTGACTGAAATGTCCAGATAGTCTCCACATGTCATTTGGGACTATTCCAGAAATACCCTTTCACACTGGCTGCCCAAGGCATCTTCAAACAAATCAACCAAAAGATGACCGTTCTGACATGAGCCAAGTGGGACGACACAAGTCGTTTTTGGAGGTGTTGAATGAATATTAGAGAGAAGAAAGCCTTCATTCAGTCGCCCTGTCAGAGTTTAGATCAGTCATGACCTGCTGATATGACCAAAGGTCAAGACTAGTGTCAGGAGGTGACCTGATTGGTGACCCCCAAGACGTGGTGTTTGAACTGGAACTTTGAAGGTCAGAACAGAAACAGAAGAATAGGAGGTGACCACTGACACAAGCGACACAAGGGAGGCTCAGTCAATTGATTTGAGAGGTACAAATGTTTTCTATGTAGGGCAAGGCACATTAGTGCAGTTTTGTGTTGCCATACAGATTAAGTTAATATTCGTGATTAAGATGTATAAGCGTGATCGCATTTTGTAACATTACAAGGCATCTCACACATACTTGTTATGTGTTAAAAATGATCTCCCCTTCTTCAAGTTCCATTTAAACTAACAGTATCATATTTGATATGCACATCTAAGGTGTCATAATTATCTATTATTAGTTACTTAATACACCAAGTTAATATAGTATATAATTATGCCTAAAAACTAGAACCGATTTTTAGAATTTTGTTAAAAATCTGTGGATTTATGCGGAATTATTTTGGGAGTATCATAACTAAAAACGTAATGTATGAAATAAAAAATAATAGCTTTTAAACTTTTATTTAATGTTTACAATGCAAATATATCTAGATCCACTTATTTGATAAACAAAGCAAGTCTCTTATATAATATATCTACTAAAAGACAGAAAATATTACTTTACAAACTGTATTGTAAATAAATCAAATGAACACTTTCATATTAGTCAATATTACTGAAATAATTTAAAAACTGAATAAATATAAATTGACACACATTTACACAAGTAAATAAATAGACTCGATGAAAATCTGCCGAATTCTGCTGATTTCTGCATGCGCAGATTCCGTTTGAGCCTACTGATGGATCATGTCATCAGGCAGGTGTACCGAAGCCTGCGGAGCAAATCAGTGCTGTTTCGTGACAGTTTTTATCCAGTCATTTTAAGACTTTTGAATAAGACCATATTTTAAACTGACAGCTAGTATGTAATAATAAATATATAAATGGTTAAAGTGGCACAAATTGTTAATATTATAACTATTAGAACAAACTGCAATTTAAGTACTTATTTTTTTCCCTTCTGGGATTTTTTTTAATTTTTTTTAAATTGGGTTATATTTTATATAACTATATTTTATATAAATTTATGACATTACAAAAGCTTATTTATTATGTTAGGTTTTTATAGTGTTTGATGTTTTTTTATGTTCTTAAGTAAAGTAATTTCGTTCTGCATTACAATTTATTGTGATGTTTTTTTAAAGAGAAAAATGTCAAAGTAAATGTAAAGTCTTGTTTGTTTTAAAAAATTTTAAAGCCATTTTAAGGGTAAAATTATTAGTCCCTTTAAGCATTTTTTTTTGATTGTCCACAGAACAAACCATTATTATTTTAAAGATAAATATTTTAAAGTTAAGCCTTTAAATTGCCCTTTGTTGGGGGTTGTTGGTAATAATTCTGACCGCAACTGTATATTTAATTTTGTTCCCATAGCCATGTTTTATTAAAGTAAAGGGCCTTTTGGTAACTATAGCAAATGTCTTTTTGTAAAGAAATCAGTCATGACTTTTACAAAGTAAACATCAAAATATATTTTACATGGGAAACAATGTTTTACCATTACTTTACAATGTTTAAATATAAACTTTACTCAATTAAATCAACTTTTAGTTTGTTAAACACACAAAAAAAAAAACATGGTAAAACTGTGAATATCAAATATGATCATATCAATTGCACAACCAAAAAATTATTTGGGTTTGATTATGAACAATTAAAAATAAAAGGAAAAAAGCTCAGCATTGTTGATTTGGTATGACAAAAGAAATATTTTTTTTAGATGTTTTTGTCAGCAGAGCCAACAGTGTTGTGCCTAATTATTTTTCAATGGGCACTTGTGTTGACCATGTGGACACTAAAGCTTTTTAAGCTCTCCTAATGAACTCTCTGACCCATCAAAGACAGATCTTCTCAAGACAATGCCGTTGACTCATCCTCTTCTGTGGTCCAGTGTCATTCAGTCTGGGACACAGCCGGCCAAAAGGTCATTCCATGTCTCTCATTAGTCTAGGAAACAGAAAGAACAAACAGGGGTAAAAGCAGAAGAAGACTGACCTCACGCTACAAGTGACTGGGTTAAAACAACATAAAAATCAAAACAACCCAAAATTAACTGTGAAGTGTTGTGCCTTCTGTTTGTCAAAAGAAAACCCGACAAATGGTGGCAAGCATCAGATAAATGCATGCAGGTGGTAGTTTTTGGTTATTATAATAAAAAAAAATAAATAACATTTTCTACCGAGATTGCATCCACAAAATTGCATATATTTGACTAGTATATGTAAATTAGGCTATAGCAGTGAAAAAGGAAACATTTTAACATACAGAACCAAACTATTGAAGCATCTGCTTTTTAGATTAAAATAAATCACCAAGTTTACAGAAGATGGCACTGTAAAACCCAGTAGTCAAATTGATCAAATGAAATGAGTGCAGTTAACACGAAATGTACTGTAAGTTAATTCTACTCATCTAAAGAGTTTTGAACTCAGTGTTGAAGTTAATGAGTTAAAGAAGTAATTAAGTGTTGATTGAGCATTAATAATGTACACCTGCTAAGTAATTATCTCATTACTTCGACTTAAATGGAGTAAGTTAACAGTGCTCTTATAGATTCATTTTTGAACTTAAATGGTTTGTTGCAATCGGTTTCCTCAAATGGTTTTAGTTGCCTTAACTTATTGGGTTTTACAGTGTGGCAGTGTATTGACTCTAAATCTTGCCAATAACTTTTTTTTTTTTTAGAGTATGTACTGATTTTTGTAACTTTAATGTGCAAGGTGTTTGGTTATGTTTAGTTATATTAGCTTCATAAAAACAGTACATTTTGCTTCTTGATATTGATAAGGGGTATCACATTCATAAGCATGTGTTCTTAACTTAAGTTTTACCATTTAATGACCAAGCATCATACGTATTTAGGCTAATGATACAAAACGAACACAAAGAAAAAAAAATCACTGCCTTTTTTTTTTTTTTTTTTACAAATTATATCTTTATTAATTTCTCAGCGGAATATAGACAATGTATTCTGGTGAATTTAATCAAAACAGCTTTATTAAACAGATATATGTATTATTTATTAAAATAATATTTTAGTCATCAAACATATTTAGTAATTAAAAGATAATACAATTAAAGTCAAGCAAAATATTGCAAAAACAAAATACAACCTATAAAATTTCAACTAAATTGTTAATTGTTTTTGCTTCTCTTGATTTTTTCTATTTTTTAATTTATATTTAATATTTTCTATAACATATACATTTGGGTGTATTAGTTTTTGGATTGTTATCGTAAGTTATTTTGTTAGATAAGATCCAGATTTGGTTTCATTACTGACTGATCTAATGTATATTTACAAATATATATTTATATATTTGAAAATATTACTTTAAAAGACAGATTTGTGAGGGGCGTGCTTATTATTAACCAATTAGTAAATATAAATTTATACTACATGCAAAATCCCTTAAAATACTACATATATTTATACGTAAACAAATTTAAATACTTGAATAGTAATACATAACCCTAATTTAATTTTGCATAAATGGCCTTTCTGTCCACCAGACAAGAAGGTCCAAAGGGACATCTAAACAATAGTAAATGAAACACAAATGTATATTATCCTTAATATTAACTACCTTAAAGGATTTGCTATTCTAACTCAAACCAGTAGAATAGCATTATGTATTATTACCATATCAAAACTTTGCAAATAGTGCATGCAGTGCAGTGGCAGAGCCTCTCAGCAAGGGGACACACGCGGGCTTTAGGACCCGGCGTTTTTTCTCTAGGAGCGTCTTTTTGTCCGTTGCAAGTGCGCATTGATTGTGACCATTGTGACTTCGCGATTTACCATCTGTAGTGTCCCATGTGGTTCAAGTCAATTAACGTCACCGGCCGGATCACTTCCCACAGGATTTGCAACCTATATTTTGAAAACCCAAAAACTTTCCTGAAGTTATGTTTAAAAACAAACACAAAAATGATCATATGATGAAGAACCATATATTATTTTACTTCTGGTGGTAGTTGCAATAATTGATGCTGGCTTTCTTTAAACTTGCATTAGGCTATTGAAAGAATTGAGGCTAGTTTTACTGCAATTGAAATAATATCTGTAAAATCACCACCAACAAATGATTCTAATTTAAATGTAAACGTGTGTGTTTAAGTCACTCGGCATTTCTATTCAGGCTGTGTAACTAACAGAAAACGCAATAATAAAACATACTTTTTATGTCTTGGTATCTTTATTCGCCGTCTATTGTGTTTATTTCACAGGAGAGCGTTAACTCACCGTGTGCTCATACATTTTCAGCCCTGAGGCGAGTCTGTCAGATCTGTGGTATCTGTCATGTCCAGCGCGCGCCACTCAGCGCGTTTTTCCCGCCGCTGTGTAAGCAAAGGACGCGGCTTCAAAGGCGGTTAAATCTCAAGCCATACACTTAACTACTGCTCTTATTAGGGCAGAATATCACACAGACCCGCACGGAGAGGATGTGTCTTTATTCAGGGCAGTATACAACAAGAATGGTCCTACATAACGTTACAGATAGGTTGACAACAATATCAGGAACTTTTGTCTGTGTTACTTCATGTCTCCTAGGTTACAAGGAACATGGCAATCACTGCTGAAACTGTTCCAGCTCTCCGGCTTCATAGGGATTTCTATTCATTTTTTCCCGAGATAATGTTTTTTTTAGGGATTTATAGTATGTAAATATGGCTTTTATATAGAAGGATTTTTTTTCTGAACTCCAATTTCTGTGTATATTTGGACATAATTAAGTTGGACCGGACCCGAAAAGGCGCACCTGTGGACTGCACAAAGAAAACTAGGAAGAAAAGAGCAAGTCTTTGAGAAAGAAAGGTATTGATTAAACAAAAACAGTAAAGACCAGTCGGGTGAGATGCTCTGACAGATAATCTTCGTGATTGTGCAGGCAAGGCAACAGCTGTCAGTCAGAGCGCGAGACCCCCTCCTCTCATCACGGCTCGCGCTGCGCGTGCACACAGTGCGCATGACCGTCCAGAGCAAACTGCAGGGACGAGGGAAATTTAAAAAACGGTTTTTTCGTGCGGGACAACAAGTGCCCCGACCAACACTAGAGCTTTCCTCCGTCTGGTTATCAAAGATTTTCTATAACCCAGAACAACATCATAACAAACAGGTAAGATGCTGTTTATTTCGTGCTTTTATTTGTTGTTCTTTTCAAACAATCCAAGAGGCTGCGCACCTGTTTCATAATGACATATAATACAGTCTGAAGAATAATGTCTCTACATAAATGTCTGAAGGTTTGAATACGTGACAAAATCGTCAGAATATAAGAAAAAATTTAACGTTTTCTGTTAAAATTACTCGATAGAATTGATGCGAGCAGACTGACAGGTAAGTTAACGGTGACTGATGACGTCTGATGATCCCGGTTTAGTAAACAAAGCACATATCTCTTCTGCACCTGTTCATAAACTCTACAGTTTAAAAATGTTCCTTTCTTTTATATTCATTGTCGTAAATATTGTGTCTATGCGTTTGCTTTTGCAGTTAATTGCCTGTTTTAACAATTGTAAATTACTGTGTTCTTATATGACCATGAAAAACAAGTCTGATAGTTGTCTTTATTCTAAAATTAATAATTAAAAAAGACACATTTGTACTGCGTATTTGCATTTATCAAGAGCAGATGCACATTTCTTAAAGTTTTTTTTTTTATTATTATTATTCTTTGCTCTGCATGGTTTATTTACTCACATTTTATCTGTCAGAAGATGATTGAAAGTGGAATTACGACCAGGATGTCGGGAATTCATGAAAACCCCGGACAGAGTCACCACACCTCCGCACAAGACTACAGGTAGGGGGTGATTTCCTTTGATGGCTGAACCCATTGCTTTTCAACCTTGAGCAGATTAGAGAATAAAAAGATAATTTTGGGAAGAAGAAGAGCACTGCTAATCTTAATACAATCTCCACCTTCTCTATTCTGTAAAATAAAGGTGTGTTTTGAGAGGCAGGGAATTGGGGTTTGTGAAAAAAGAAAAGAGCGAGAGAATACATCATCTTTGCTCTGAATGGATCTGTCAGAAAGCATCAGCTCTGTTTACACGCCCGCTGTCGGCACACGGAGGGATTGAGGACCTTGGCAGGGGCCCCCACGGGTCACCAAGGAGAAGTGGATCCCAATTAGAATGTAAACGAGGGCGACTTGAGCTGTGATAAACCGTGACTGTGTGCGCCCGCCTCCCCCTTTCTATGGGACACGTAATGGTTTGCATCAATGAGCAAATAAAATCATTTTTTCTTCCACTTGTATAACTGCACCCTAATGACCGTAAACTGTACAATACACAGCTGGGTTTACAATTAGACTTCAGAAATGCTAATAAGTACAAGGATGTAGGCCCCCTTTTCTCGACGCTCCTAAGTTTATATGGCATGTTATGAATTCTTTCCAAAATTAACCCGTCTACCTAATTTATGAAGCATTTCTTATTTTTTATAAAAGTACTAAAATCCATTATTTTTCTTTTCCTTTATTAACTCTGTGAATCAATAGAAAAAAAAGACCTGAAACAGTTTTCTTATACTAAAACTTACAGTGCAGCCATATAGTAATGTAAACACTAATATGAAGTTAACACAACTAAATATTTTGAGTCGGTATTTATTTTCGGTACTGAAGTTTACTTTATTAAGAAGTTGTAAATACACACTTTTTAAAGTTATGCTCACTTAAAATTTATACTAAGAAATTAAGGCAACTGGTTTCCTCAAGTAAGGTCAACCTAACATACTTTTGACCTCTCAAACGTTGTAAATGCATATTATTGTGAGTCAACAATGATTAAATTTATTTAGTTTAACAACTTAATGTGCTAAAAAGTTAGGGTTTACTTTTTTAATTATTGTAAGGTGAACAAACTTATTCATAAGTTCACTGCACTTAATTTCATTAGTGAGAAAAGCTTCTGCATTTTACAGTGTGGCAGCACAAGTGAATGCTGTTTGCAATATAAAATTGCCAGCTTTTAGATCTGTTTAATTTCTCAACCTCTGTATATAAGATTTTAAATACTTATTATATCCTTAAAAATATTTATTTTTTTATTATTATAATGTTCATATTATTCTAAAGTTTAGTGAGAATTGAATTTCCTTTAAACATGCAATGAATTTACAGTGACTTACAGAGTTTTTAAAAAGGACATGATTTCATTATCCATACACTGTAAAACTCAACAGTCAACTTTATCAAATAAAACAAGTGTAGTTAACTCAAAATTCACTGAAAGTTAATTCTACTCAATTGAAAAGAGTTATGAACTCGGTGTCGAAGGTAATGAGTTAATTAAATACCTTATTACTTCAACTTAAATGGAGTAAGTGCACAGTACTCAAAGTACTCATTTAAGTTCTCTTCATTTATCAGGTTTACTGTGCTCAAATTGCTTTGTTTACTCAAATGGATTAAGATCACAGTACTCACTTGGATTCGTTTTTTAAAATTACCTCAAACTTTTTGAGTTTTACAGTGTAAAAACATGCTGTTTCAATGTTAAATCACACTTTATTAATGTTGTAGGTAAATATTAGCATATGAATAATAAATAAAGAGACATATTAATGAGGAAATCAATATCTAAAACAAACTGAAACACCATGAAAGACAGTTTTTTCCATGAAATGGATAAAAAAAGAATATAGTTTATTAATGTAAAGTATTTCTTGAGCTCAAACCGCTTAACAAAAATACAATTCAAATGTGTTCTCAATGCTTTTCTAAAATAAATTTAAGAAAAAAGAAAATTTGATGCTTTATTAATTATTCCTATGCTAATTTTAACCTACAACATTACGAAAGTGTTATTTAACATTGAAACAACCAGCGTTTTGGCGAAGCAGTGGCACAGTAGGTAGTGCTGTCGCCTCACAGTAAGAAGGTCGCTGGGTTGAGCCTCGGCTCAGTTGGCGTTTCTGTGTAGAGTTTGCATGTTCTCCCTGCGTTCGCGTGGGTTTCCTCCGGGTGCTCCGGTTTCCCCCACAGTCCAAAGACATGCGGTACAGGTGAATTGGGTAGGCTAAATTGTCCGTAGTGTTTGAGTGTGTGGGCGAATGTGTGTGTGTGGATGTTTTCCAGAGATGGGTTGCGGCTGTAAGGGCATCCGCTGCGTAAAAACTTGATGGATAAGTTGGCGGTATATTCCGCTGTGTCGACCCCGGATTAATAAAGGGACTAAGCCGACAAGAAAATGAATGAATAAATGAATGACAACCTGCGTTTTCATGAATAAACTGAAACAGTATCCTAAAGAACTTCTGATTAATCAATAAGTTGCAAGACATTCAGGTCTTAAACTGCTTTGTTTTATCTGTAAGGTGTCTTTTTCATGTCTTTGTATGTGGTCGGGCGTTAGGAAGACTCTTCAAAGCACATGATGACAGTGTGGTGTTGACATGTTCGTGTCTAAGGTTTCATATTTGCAAGTGTATGAGTGCGTGTGTAAAGGATAATTATTCAGAAGCTCCGAACCAGAGTAAGCAGGGTGCTCAAGGCCACGTCCCCGAGTTCTTCCTTCAATGCTGTAATTTATTCAGGTGGCAGACTGTGTGTGCAGTGTGGCTTGACCTCCAACTCCTTCAACTACCCCCCTTAGGTACTGTCTGATGCCTCCAGGCGGGGGGGATGGGGCAGAAGGGGACAGGGGTTGGGTGGAAAGGGACAGGGAAACAGATGGCATCCTATTTTTCTCCGTTGTGTGAGGCCTGTCATTCCAGTAGATTAATGCAAGGGGTTGGTTAAAAAAAAACGGTAAAGACAATCAAGGAAGGGTCTGGGGGCGAAACAATAGAGCCACGTGCCGCTGTGCAGATTTGTCGTTTGGGACACAATAGGTGATCATTTTTCAATGGGGCTGGACCAACTGTTGCAGGCAACGTGTGCCACATACCCATGTTTCAAATGATCTCATGCGTTGTTTACATATGATTCAGCCAATGACAGTGAAGAAGGCAGCGGTCACCTGACCAACGTTAGAGCTTGGTTTAATGGAGAGGGGGGCTCTGAAGTGTCCAGACACACAAAATAACTGAAAAGTGAGGGTTGTCATAGCGACCCCAATTATTGCACTGAATAGAGAGTTTGTAGGGAAGTCTGGAGAGAATTCAAGATGGTTTCTCTGCTCTCTTGATGCTTAGAGCAAATGAAGAAATGGCTGAGTAAATAACTCTCCCTGCGCTGGATTAGATCTGAGGAGGTATTTTGATTTACAAGAGGACCTGCTCATTTTCTATTTATTTACTAGAAAACTTTATAAAAAGAGTTTGGTGATGTGAGTAAAAAATGATGGATTTAAAAATAGGCAATGGCATAAAGATAAATTCT